GTTTTTTCCCCCTTTACTGCTCTGATTAAAACTTCCCTTCTCAATTCAATTAAAATCATTTTCTTACTCAAGTTAATTTTGATTGCCTAAATTCGGATGGTAGTAAGGATTTTGATTGGGACAAAGCCACTTAAGTGAGTCCAACGGTCCATTTAATGTCTGGAAAAATGATAAATGAGTCTTTGTGTAAATATTTAAACGAAACTACCCCATTTGAAATGATATTTTTTCGGTAAAATGAAATGTTGAATCCAACACGAGAAAAGGCAGTAATCGTTTTTTGTCTTCACTACTTCTTGGAAAATTTGACATTTCCATTGAGTTTCACATATTATGACTATTATGACAGGGGAATTCTGAAAGCCTATTGTTATCTTTTTTAAATATCAGGGCATTTAATGAACACAAACAAATGCTTCATTCAGGCAAATTAAATTACCCACATGTGAATTATAAATAAATCGATAAATTCACAAATCGTGTAAAAAGCCAATAAATTCAGCTTACTTCTACAGTCTTATTAACACGTCGCAGATAATGATAACGACTAAAGTTGGAATGGAATTTAAACACCACAAACGGTCATAAAATGTCTAGAGAGAGGAGAGAGATGCGAAAGGCGGGAGGTGGTGATGACCATGTCGTTCTAAATTAAGACACCCCATCTAGCCGCCTTTGATGTTGTCTTTCCTCGTTCGAAGGAGATAACAGTTGTTTGAACGGTTGGTTCATGCACCTTGTCATACACAAATAATCTCATCATTTGGGTATTTTATTATCGTTATAACCCTTGTCTAGCTAACCCAGTATGATTTCTTCAAGTTACTTACATACAATATACAAGCGTAGTTTATAAATACGCTCGTCTTGATTAGTACTTAACTCTAGCTGGAACCCAAAATCCTTGCTCCATTTTGTGGTCGACCTGTCATTGCCTACCGCAATGGAATTTCAGTGACGTGGGGAAGTTAAAGGAGGAAAGACGGCTAAAGAGAGAATGCATACACAAGAGTTTATCCCATCGAAATTTCGTTTTTCTATTGCATCGACTTGGAGAAAAAGAGCATTTTAGATTAGAGGACTAGATTTAGAGGGATTAGCCAGGAGTGGAAAAATCGATTCAAGTACAGAGCTATTAGTCGAGAGACAACGTGAAAAATCTACTCATTTTTAAGAGCCTTTTTTCCGGCGTTTATTTTGTGACAATAAAAGTAATCCGATAGGTCATTTTGGAATAAGTACACGTAAATGTCAACTCTTGGCATGTTAGAATATAACATATTGTTGGAAGTTGATTAAAATCCCACTTAAGTGGATGAATTATAGAGCCAGGTTACAGAAGACATTTTTAAATAAATCGCATTCGTCCAATTGAACTTAATAATAGACACAATTCACAGTATTAAATGTTCCGACTTCCCAATGTTGAAATTCTCAAGTTCGAGATCACTCGTGTAATTTTTGGTCCATTTTTAGACAGGAACTGTGATTGAGAAAAATCGGTCAAAGTTAGATTGCTTACTTTCAATAGAACTCTACTTTAAGATTAAAACTTAAAGTGGAATGAAGATATGCTAATTCAATTTCGGAAAAGTGAAACTAAAATGAAGTTCTATTTTTTCATATAAAAATTATGCGACATTTTCCAGAATTCACTAATTAAATCGACTCACTTCACTTTATTGACAATATAGTCATTAAATCATAAGTCTTCCTTAAACAAAATGCTGCCTTAATTTCACGAATTCATTTATTGACCCCAAAACAAGAACATTAATAATTCTTTTAAAGTATTAATTACCAAACACTATGAACCTCTGTTTAAATGAAGGATTTCTCAAGATTCGATCAGGAATTTAAGTGGTAAGCATCAAAGGGAATTAATCAAGAATGCTTTATGAAATAAGTACCCAGAAAGTGCCCATAAAAATGGCGATAACGTGTTCAGATATTTCGAATCGTCTCTGGCGTAGCAGAGAAATCCATTACTTTGGGAATAAAATTTGTTCCAACCGATTAATGTAATTTTAGAAGTTATTGAACTTCTTGTCTACTTTGACTTTAGCGGGGACATCCGATCTTGTGAATTTGACACTAAGATTAATTCTAGCCCCAAACAGGCTCTGCTGTTAAGGATGGTAAGACATTTGAAAATAATGTACTCCTTTCCTTATTTTAGCCACAACTTTTGATTCAAAATTATGCTAGTGCCTAGGGTTCAAGGTAAGTCACTATCAATGCTGAGGACTATTTTTTGCCAAAAAAATATTATAAACAATAACAAATTACTGAAAAACGTGTTTCATCTATTCGATACATCTGGCTTTATTTACTGACATGGACGATAGTGTGACTATCGATAATTAGTGTAAATATGAAATGCATGAAAGACAAATAAACGAAGTGTAAGTTGACATGAAGGGGACAAGATTTTTTACTCTTTCTCTATCCAAAGGGGGCAGACCTGTTAATCTACCCCCAAGGACGCGCGTGCTTCTCGTTGGTTCTTTTCCTTCCCTTGATTGACATCGCAAAAGGCAATCATGAATCACGTTGTTTGATTGGCTCAGCACTGCGCCTGTGTGCGCATTTGTCAGGAAATAGCTCAGCCTATCACATCCAGATGACCTTGTCGTAGCCAATAACCACGTTAGTATGTGCTGACTGGATGGACGAGGTCTGAGTTAGTAGGTGCTACCTGCTAGGTCTCATCTATTGGTTACCACTCTGCAATCACATTGCGCTAGGCAACGCGCAGCATAGACATTGGTTGATGTAAAATTTCAAGCCTTAGCGTGGATGAAGCGTCATCTAGAAACAGTTAGTAGTCTCCAGACTGTCTACTGTCACTGTGACAGATTGCGATTTTAATCGTTTCCCATTTTATCATTAAAATATATATCTCCCCAACTCTCCCAAGATAAAACACTTTCCACTACAGACTACTGTACCCAACAAAGTCCTTCCACTCTATTTGGAATTAGTTATATCAACTACCAATCAACTTCCAACGTCTATTTTCATCTGATTTTTGGTAAGTCGATGCTAAATTTTGATTTTACTGTTTTAACTTTAATGCATTTATTTATAATGCTTGACGTGCTATTTTGGGTATGGGATATCTCATGTTTCATTACTTGCATATGGCTACTTCATATCGATATTATATTTAATCGAAACAGAATTTCATTTTCTCTTGCTGGACAGATTTTCGATTAATGCTTGAGTGATGAAATGAAACAACCTATTCCTGTAATTTTGAAGTTCATTTCCAAGCCTTTGAATGAAATCTAATTCTGCCTCCTTAAAAAAGAAACGGATATATTTCGGGTAGACTTCCAAATTCTATATCAATGAGAACGGATTGCTATACACGCCGGTTTCAAAGGTCATTCGATGTTCATTTTTACAAGTATATCATGAAAATTGAATTTCCGAATGTGTGAGAAATGGTTGGTTAAAATTTCAAGAAGATTAGAAATTTGGAAATACTTGGCTTCTTGAACTTAACAGAACGAGGTTATCCGATCCTATTTGCGAAAGAAAAGATAATTTTGAAACAAGATATATCAGGCCACCTTATTTGGTAGGGTCTAGTGAACTTTTCCGCTTATTTTAATAGTACCGATTCTAGCTCATCACAAGCCAGCAGTCACCGAAATCATTTCTTTCTTTCACCTTAGGCAAATTAGAGCCACCCGTTAGTCTCTTATAAGTGATGTTTTTAAATTTCATTTGTCTCACGAAAGTTACTTTCTTCAGAATTTCGGTACTGTCATTAATATCATATCCAAATCTGGGAGTTCTGTGAAATTATTCAAGCTTCTGATGCTGACTTAAATAGTTGGAATCACATTTTTCCATCGACCACATTCAACAGTGGATGCTTTAAATGTATGAATGCATAGTTATTATGCAATAGTCCAGTTTCATACTATTCCCAAAGCAAGTCTAAGTATTCATCTGGGCTATGACGGTAGTCAGAGATGATAATTTTGGACTTTCGAGTTAACTGATGAAACAGTTATTCACTTGAAGAAGTCTCTTCCTGAATCAATTTTTTTTCAATGAACTATCTACTGACGCATAATTTCTCATTGCGTTTTTTTTGTCAACCTTGAAAGTGATAGTCTATTCCACTACTCGGCACGATTAGTCAGTCCTCAATCAGTCATCAAATACACCAGTCATGAATATATTTCCGCTTCCCGCCTACGCTACAGGACTTTTGTGATTTAGACGCCCTCCTCTCTCTCTCCGCCTTTAGTTGATTAGGTAATTACGTGTGATTGAATATTTATACGGTAAAGCGGGGATAACTTGCCTCCTCAACGAAGTCGGTGGTCATGGCTCCAGTCGTATTAGCGTGCAGAAACCAAGGCTCTCTCTACACAAGATGGACGTTGGAAAAACGCTTTCCTTATTAGGGTTGGGTGGATGTGCGGTGGGGGGGGGGGGGGGGGGGGGGGTAGGACAGATATGTATTATGGGAATACCTTGGATTTGTCATAGACCCTCTTGTCCGTGTATATGCATGCAGTCAAATCGATGATCAAGACTAGCGTGCATGTGAAAGAAGGACCTTTGAGTGACATTGACTTGACAAGTCCCGCTAAACCTCATATACACACGCACGCAAATTGCATCAATCATTTGACGTCTCGGCGGCGGCGGCGGTCTCATCGTTCCTCCCTCACTCATTATTTGTGTGTGTGTCGTGTCCATATCTTTGGGTAGACATGCTGGCCGTGTTGTGTGTTGTGTGCTTTTATAAAAAATCCGCCGGCCTACAAGAGCTGTCAAAATGCCGACATGTCAAACAACACACACACACATACACTCACACACATAGAGAAGGCGCATTTACACTTAGACAAGAATGTGATTAATGGAAGACACTTAAGTACGATTGGCTAATGTCTACTTTTCGTCTCTTATAGGAGAAGTTGAGAACAACTAAAACGGAAAAAGGAATTAATGCCTGTGGTCTCGGGAAAGCAATGAACTTACTGTCCTCATCAAATCCTCCATCTTTACCTTCAGCTCCTCCACCCCAGCCGACGTCTCCTCAGTCTTCGACAGAATCACTGCCTCCTAAAGCAACATCAATTCGCAAACAGAAATCTTCATCAAAGAGTCCAGAATCACCAATGACTATCACTATGGCCTTCAACAGTGGTAAATCACGACCTCTCGATCTTTCCGCAACCGATCGAAGTTCTGTAGAGATTTCTACCCCTCTGGAATGTCCTAAACTCATTAAAATGGAAGATTCTGATGAGAGAACTTCTGGAAATGAAGATAAATCTAGTGAGAATGAAAAGCACTCGCATTTAAAAGCTGAGATCGAGGACAATAAATCTACAGTTAAACAATCATCCGAGTCTTCCGATCAGACTCAATCCAAATCAGATGAACTCTCGTCTCAAGTTAAAGTCCTGACAGAATTCTTTAAAACTCTTTCCTCGACCTCAACTCCTATTGATGCAACTGTAGCCTCCTTGCAAGCCCTGATTGCTAAGAAGAGTGAAAAGGAAGATGCTAATTCCCTTGAAGCCCTACATCAACTTGGATGGCAGTTGATTAATCTTGGCAGGGGAAACCCTAATGCCCCTAATCCTCCGCCTATTCCTACATCGACAAGTGTACCATTATGGATACCCGGAAATCGACCTCCTGTACCCTCATCACAATCAATCCAAACCCCTTCAACTCCAAGTCAGCAGTCCCTACCTCATCCACATCCTCCAATGTCCGGCATTTCCATGCGAGGCAATCAGAAATACAGCGCCTTTTACCAACACAATCGTAAGCATCAGTCTACAGAGGAGTCTGAATCATTTCGACAATCGACTGCCCCAAGTGTTCCACAATTCCATCGTGTTGGATTCCCCTCTAGACGTATTAGTGGACCTGGTCTTCCAAACCAGACTCGATGTCACTTTCCCAATTCTTCCGAATCCACCCTGAAACCAACTGGAATGGGTCCACGAATGCAGAATGAATTGATATCTCCCCCAAGAAGTCGTGAAACGGCCTTCTTATGCAGTTGCGGAGAAGATTTTGAGAGTCTTTATGTCTTCACGCTTCATATGAGAGACACTGGACATAAACCTCGGAGTAGTCAGCCAGAACGTGATATCCCCAAGTTGGTGCGAGGTCAGGATATGTGGATAAATAGTGAGACTGAGCAGACGCGCGAAATTTTGAGATGTATGCGGTGCAATCAATCATTTCGAAGTTTACCTGAGCTTACCATGCATATGATGAAAACGAGTCACTACTCTGAGATTGTCTACAGTGATGCCGGGCGAAATTTACTTGCAAGTCAGACATTCTCTTCGTCTGATAGGAATCGAAGTGGGGGTAGTTCTACTAATAGTTCCTCATGGGGAGGAGGGTTGAAATCTAATTCTGCTTCCATGGCAATGAAAAGACCGATTCGTGGGAGTGGAGCAGCCCCTCCTCAAAATGGACTGAGTGTACCTCCTGAAGCCCTCAAAACAAATTCTGAATCGGAGAAGAAAGTAAATGGTCATCCTGAGAACCTCCAGCGATCAGCAATTAAATCTCCAAGATTGGAAGAGCCTCCAAAATGTGAACGACCTGCCAGTTCCCATGAAATGCACTTGGTGAAACCTTCTCCTAAGCCTGCGGTCTCTCCAGAAGCACTTTCCTGTCCTTCAGAACTTCAAAGGAGTGGTACATCTTCACCAAGAAACGAGAACGATAAGCCAGAACAAAAGTACCTGAATTCACCTACTTCTAGTCGCGAGAATAATAGTCCGAGGGCTTCAGGAGACGAACAGCCTAGACGTGGATGTACAGATAGTGTGATTCGACAAATTGAGAGTTTTGTGGAGAATAGTCTTCCCTTCTCAAGTGCTTCTAGTCCAGTATCATCGAGAAACTCAAACTGGCCTCCTCAGAGACAACAACAATCTCAGAATGTCGCGAAGCCGACGATGGCTTCTTCCACTGCATTTGGTCGGTGTAATCTCTCTCCGATGGCTGAAACTGAGACTTCTAGATCCACACCCGATAAGAATGTTTCGAGAAAACGCAGATTCTCTAGTGGATCTTCGAATTCTGCCGCTCCTGCTAGAAACTCTTCCACTGAAGCTCCTGCTGATAAGCGTCCCCTTCTGGGATTTTCTGCTGAAGCTGGTGAGAATCCCCTGTCCTCTCTTCAGAAGCTGGTTGAAACTACTCACCAGTCGGGAGCTGGAATGAAAAGTCCAATGCGTCCATTCAGCCAAGCTAGTGAAATTTCACCCTCACCTTCAAACCACTCAAATGATATAGAAGCTTCAGGAAATATTAACGCTAATATCAGCAAGACTTGTCCTACCACTTTGGAAACTGGAAATCATCAACCAAATATTGCAGCTGCCTTGTCAGCATTGCAGAATATCATGTCGAAGGTTTCTCCCTGTGCCTCTAATCAGCAACAAACTCCACCGAATTTTGACTTTCTTCTTCCTACTTCTGTTAATAGCGAAGGCGAAAATGCTAATTTGATGGGCCTACTTAGTGCAGTTTTAAATGCAGCTAAACAATCTGAGTCTGATCAGAAGAGACCCGAAGGTAATATGAACATTGGAAATCTTCCATCTCCTTCCAAAATTTTTGAGCAATCGGTGTTTACAGGCGGGGGATTTGATTTTGCGAAGTCTACACCACTCTCAGTTCATATGAACCCACCCACCATGACTACATCTGGGCCTAGTATGGTTGCAAATATAACCAAGAAGGCGAAATGTCACTTCTGTGGTAAACCGTTTGCAAACAAGGGACAAGTTCGTCTTCATATCAGTAAGAATAAGTGCCCCTGTTTACTTCAACAATCCGCTATGGCTAAACCGCCTAGTTCGTCAGGAAATATGACTGATAAGAGGCGACTACCTTTCCCATATCCTGGATTTTCTCACGGAGCTCCAGATTTGAGTCGATTCTTTTCGCCTCCACCACCTCAACACCATCAGCAGTCAAACCCTCAGACTTCCCAGCCATGTGCTACTCAAGCTTCATCCTCTTCACAGGGTTCACAACAGAAACCCCTGGATTCGAAGCCTCCAGCAGAAGCTGCTGCCTTGGCTGCTTTGTTGCGTCATTTTAATGCACCTCCAACTTCTGCTCGTGCAAGTAGTTTCAAACCTGCTGATTTACTGGCTTCATTATCACGACCCTCAGATTCTAATTCATCGTCCCTGAATGCCCTCTTTTCCATTCTTTTCTCTGGAAATGCAGCTCCGCCTCCTCCCCCTCCTCCACCTCAACCGATCGATACGTCTGGAATGTCTCCTGAACAGAAAGCTCTGATGCTCTTTGCTCAGGCTGTTGTCTCCCTAGCTGTTGCCACTCCAACTAAGGCAGGTGATGAGATTAGTCAATCACAAGTGACACAGCCACCTCCGACTATCCCTGCATATCCGCCTCCTTTAATAAACCTTCTTCATAACTTCAATATCACTCCTCCAACTCCTATCCCAACTCAAGATTCCCCTGGCTTGGACAATCCAGATGGGCTCATTAACTACCTCTCTGCTCTCAGGCAGATTGTTTCCATAGGGAACCCTGGAACGACCTCGAGTCCTGCTACTGTATCTACCCCTAATACATCAGCTCCTACGACCACTTTAGCTATCAAGATTTTGTCAGCCACTGGAGATAACACAGCTGTCGCTTCCAAGGAATCAGAATAAGAAGGCGCTCTTATTCTTCCTTAGACTTCTTTCCTTCACTCATTATCTTCACAGAAACCCTCCCACCCGGCGCATCTCTCTGTTCTTTTCAATTCTTCCATTTGCTTCCTACCCCGTCCAAAGTGTGTTGTAAATATGTTGCTCTGTGTGCGATTACATTGCACCTTCTGGCGTCTGCATTTGTTTGAGCAGCAAGAAAATATACCGAAATTCTTCTTTATCTATCCTCTCTCTGTGTACATAGACCTATATATATATATATATTATATATTACAAAGAAGATGAAACACCACCTTATGGTTTATCTGAATCCAAAAAACTTTGTCTTCTTACTTGTGGGCAAATTGTGTGGCAATTGGAAGTTGTAAATGTGAATAAGAGGATTCTAATGTGAAGGAAATTGCTAGAGAGTGATCGAACAGATGTTTGGGGAGACTTTTTTTATAGTTTGCCAAGGAGACCTGGTGTGGTGGAAGTTTGGTAGACTGCAGATTGAAAGGACAGACGCTCAATCTTTAGTAGTAGCTTCTCTTTGACTTGAGGTGTTTATTCAAGTCTCCTCTTGGACGCATGTATAAACGTACGCCTCCATATTGGCGTATAGAGTGGGGTAGGAACTGATTGATTAATTACGATTAATTAAATTTGTGAAAATTAAGCTAAAGAGAGGTTATTGTTTAGATGGCTGCATAAGGTACTGGCCTGGATAGAATTGATCAATTATTTTAATTTTGAATATTCTTTCCCTATTTTTACTTATTTGGAATGAAAATTCCGCTTGGATTGGGTAGATCTTAGACGCACATGGGCAAAATCCGGTTTGTATGACATGAGAATGACATATAGGTGTCAAATTGTAACTTAACTTAGCATTTTCATAAGTCACAAGGAGCATGCAGCCTGCCTTATAATCGGCGCCAAATCAATAAAAATCCGCGAATATATTGGTATTGGGGCCCAACACAGCAACACTTACTCAAAACCAGTACGAAGAAGGAAGAAATTGCAGTCCAAGGCACTTTTTATCTCCACTCAGTTGTTAGGCTATGTGAATGATTCGCCAACATTG